TTTCTAAATGTCTATGATGCAACTGATGGCATGAGCTTTTCAAGCTTGCCTTAATACTGAGACGCTGTATCAGTCAAGAAGATGGAAAACAGTACCTGAGTTCTCAGTTCTTCTAACTCTCTCCAGTCATCTAGTTCTAACACCTTGTAACCTCTCTGCCTACGGATGAGAAGAGGGGCAAGCATCTCACACCAGGAGCCCAGGAGAGCTCTTCATTCTGTGTCCATTTCACTGTCTCTCCTTCCTTCCCTCCCCCTCTTTCCCGCTGACTTCTTGCATTTATTTATGTTTATTTATTCATGGGAACACCTGATCCAGGCTTGTTTTCCGTGTAAGATTCTGCTGTTGTAGACCTTGCCAGGCTCTCAAACTCTACTACACCAAGATAAGAGAGCTATGTTTAGATCACTCCCTTTTCATGTTCATAGCATGTCTTGTAAGTTGATTTCTAGCACCCTGAATATTTTGCTCTGTGTACCCATGACCATTTGTAGATTGACACAGGAGAGTGGCTGACTGCAGTCTCCAAGGTAATGCAACCGTTCCCAGCTCCCTACTATGTTTTTGAACTTCTAGAATTGCTAGAAGAGAGAGAGAGAGAGAGAGAAAGAGGACACGGAAGGGAAGAGACACGGTGCATTTTATTTTACCCACAAGGTTGGAAAGGGAATTTCTCTCTCCTCCTACAGAAAGTGAAAAGGTTTTTTTTTTTTTTTCTTTTTTCTTTGGTCAATCCAGCTGACAAAGATTGACATAAGTAACCCAGTATAGCTGAGAAGCAACGTTGACTCAGTATCTCAAAAAGCTACCCAGATAATAAGTACCAGAAAATGGTGTTTCCAAAGTAATTTTGGGGAAATCACTAGCAAAACAAAATAACTTGGAATACTAAAATTTAGGAGATGATTTAAGAGGTCAAGCCCCGCCAGCCATATGCAAGTCTTAGAGCACCCACACTCCCGCAGGCTGATCAGACGTTGCTGGGGTTTGGAGGTTAAGAAGGCCTTGGTCCCACTGGAACCTACAAGAGAGCCTTCCACGCCGGAAGGGTTGCCCCAATAAAGTGAATGGACAGCTAAGACGCCCTCTGCCTACCCACACATCTTTCCTTCACACATGCCGTGCTCAGTGTCATTATTCTGAGTTCAGCCTTCTTTTCCCCATCTTTAAAAACACACATGTCTCCAAAGCAGGAAGTGTATTCAGGTGCCCACCCCTGAGTCCAGCCCTAACGGTTCGTTATCATCAATACTTCACAATAACAGAACCTTGTCTAATCAGGACTGCCGAGGGAATGACCAGACCAGCACCTCTCCTATCTCCCCGTGGGCAGTGGGGGTTTTACTTGACATTGACCAGCCCTGTGTCTAAGTCCTTGATCCCAGGGTGGGGAGCTGGGAGAAACTGCCACCCACTAGCACTGCTTTTGGAGCCAGAAAGGGTCTCCGTTTGACTTCACTTCCCATCTTGGAGAATCCTGGCAATCGTTAACCTCTGAGGTTCAGTTTCTCTGCCTGTAAATCACACCTACAGGATTGTAGGAATAACACAATGTACAAAAAGGGTCTGACTTGTACCAAAAGATAACTGTTCCCACTAAAGAGTTAAGCCTTGTGCCTCCTTGATGCTGATGGCAAGACAGACCAAAAACAAAACTTGGCTTCTTAAGTTTCTCTGGTTTTGACAGTTTTCTGCACCAGTAGATTTCACCCTGTCTCTGTTTTCCCCGAAAGGAGGGAATTACATACATGGCTTAAACGTGGTTCGTAATTTTTGGTAAATCAGGAGTCAGATTCTTAAAACTACTTGCTCGGGTTGCCTGAAGCCATCTCTAAGGGGAGGTGTGGCTGACGCGGTAGCAGCGGCTCTCTGTTCGTCTAGACTCTGCCTGGTCCATCTTTCAAAAGAACGTGTGTCGAGTTTTCTTTCCTGTGACTGGGAAAGAAATCTAAAACTCGGCCACACAAGTGCGTGATGATGTCCTGACTTGCTTAAACGTGCAGCCATGACCAAATGGCTTTCTCTTTGATTTTAAGACCTGGTAAAGTAGGAAGTTGAAATTAACCTCAGCCCTTTTATAGCTGAAACCTCAACAAATAAACAGTGGTTTGGTGGCATAGCAACCTAGCCCCCTTTTCCATCCGTACCCTGCTTTAGATCATTTGAGGTGCCTATTTTGAGCGCTTCTTAAGCACATCTGATTCTTAGATCTGTGATTCCGTACTGAAGGAGTTAAAGGGCCAGGCACGACCCTCCGATGAAGCCCGAGAAAGACTGGGTCCATCAGCCTATCAGCCTGGGATCTCTCGGAGCCCCTAACTGCTGACGATTCTGCCACGCTGAAAACATCCACCCATTGGTTCGGCACGGCTGTAAAACCGCTCTTGTTAATACTATGGGGATGTTTTTCTTCCAACTACTGCGGCCATTTCAAAGAGAGCCATAAACACATGCTGAATTTTTATACAAAGCATCTTCTTAAATATAATATAGAAGCTCTAGTGCTAAGCTGGGAAAATAACCATTTTCATACCCATCAAGAACAAAATGAAGGTTTTGGCTGAAAGAGACTTTACTGTGATTCCTGTTAACTTTCTAATTTCAGGGGGAAAAAAAAAATCCCAAGGGTCTACTCGAAACAGGACGAAAGTAAAAAAGCATTAGATTTCTAATGGGAAAAAAGAAAGGAAAAGGAAAAGTCGTTTTACATAAAACTCTCCCAGATACTTATTTTTTAAAAGCTGTTCCTACAATTTTACAAGTGATGCCCTGAATGGCAAATCATATTTTGGAAAGAAAGGACATCGGTGACATAGTTAACACATTCTCTATAGAGCAGCAACTAAGACTCCAGGGCACTCTCAAAGCAAGTTATTATTACTTAGAGGTTGCAGCAGTAAAAAAGTTTTTAAAAGGAACAAGAAAGGGGTTAAACCTGATACTGTGCTAAGCATACAGTATTCCAATGAGCTGAGGAATGCCCGTCAGTGGCAATGCCTCCGACCGAGAGCTGCTGACGGCTGAGAATAAGAATTCAACACCCCACCCCCAGGCCCACCATTTTCTTTTTGGTAAAGAGAGTGTATCTGACCAGGAAGAGAAATCAGATCTGGTTCACTCTTCACCAAAACCGAAACCTAGTCAGACTCCTGGTGATGATTTCCACCGGCCCCCATGTGGTTAAAGTTTCCACTGACTTTCAAAATGCTTCATAATTTTGGTTTCAAGAGCAGCAGAAAAAGGCAAATCCCTTTATCTGCCCAGGAGTAGAAATGGTCAGTGACACCATGAGAGGATAAGAAAACAGACGTCTCCCCTTGGATGTTACAAGCGGAATCCTGCAGATGACACGCATGTAAACAGCCCTGAACACAAGATCAGGCCATCTCCTAAAGAATTTTATTCTATTTAGAAGAAAAGCAGCAATTCCCCCGCCCCGCCAAGCCCATCTCACTTAATGTGCCATTTGATCTAATTTCTCACACATGCTTGCATTTTGGAATTTCAAAAAATCAATATGCATATTTTGAATGAGTATGCGATGATGAAGCACCAGGAAACCAATGGTTTCATGGGACCTCTTCTTAAATACATCTCAGAGGCAACTGGAGATGAGAGGCAGCCCTCCCAAAGTCAAGCTTGGGTTTCTGCTGTCCACCAAAGGGGTAATCTACAGAAAGACCCCTTAAAATCCTGTGTCTGTATAGGATCTTACATGAGGGGGATCCCTGGGAATTTTTCATGCAAATAAGAGAACCTTCCCCAGAGATGTGAGTGTGAGCAAACAGCATGGGCCATCAGGCTCTGGGGAAGACGATGGAATTCCCTTTTGAGAGCCCTACATGTGCTAATCCCAAAAGAAAGCTATGGGCTGGAAACCCTCAAGGACTTGGGATTCTTGCGCATCTCACAACAGCTCAGAACACAAGAACACCCAGGAAATCTAAGTTTCGCTGTCCCAGCAGGGCAGGTGCACGTCCCCAGCTGGCCACCTGTCCAGATATGCCCCTTATCTTTTCCTGTGAGTCAAGCAAGCCTGCCCCTTTGAGAAAGGAATCTTACTGCGACCCTACCGTACACAGCTGTGTCCCGCACGCCCTGAGAAAAACCACTGCATTTCGGAAATCTGAAATGGTATCACAGAGCAAATAATCACTGACGTCAGTGCTTTCTGCAGTGTAAATGAACTCTGGGTATTATCTCGTTTGGCACAGTGGGTTTTATGCAATTACTGTGTTTTACAGTGTTTTTGCCATTGCCAGCTAACCCCCACCATGGTGAGAGCAGAGTCCGTCCACCTTCTGGACTGACTGCAAATTCATTATTTGTGATGAATACCCTCAATAGGACGGTGTCCAGACACTCCTATTTCCTTATATTTTCAAAAGGACATGCATAAAATACAAACCCCACAAATAATTGGGAAGGACGTGAAACATCTTGACCTTCACCTGGCTTGATGCATGCCATGTGTGTCTTCAAGTTAAGTGAGAAAATGGCATGGCCAGAGCTCCTGCTTGAGAAATTCCAGACATGATCTACATAGGAATATAAACGTATCTGGATTTACAGGACTTCCCTGGTGGCTCAGTGGTAAAGGATCCGCCTGCCAATGCAGGAAACATGGGTTCAATCCCTGGGTCGGGAAGATCCCCTGGAGAAGGAGATGGCCACCCCACTCCAGGATTCTTGCCTGAAGAAATCCTCATGGACAGAGGAGCCTGGTGGGTGACGGTCCAGGGGGTCACAAAGAGACAGACAGGACTGAGCGACTCAGCAACACCCTCTCTATATCCTCTGTAGCAGGGCCTTTCAGTCTGGGGGTCTTGTTATAATGCAGCTCTGACTCAGTAGCTCTGGGGTGGGTCGGGCGGGCGCACTCTGCTGTTACCAAGCTCCCAGGCTGCTGGTCCAGGGAAGTGGGGAGGAGAAGCCACGATGGGTCTGGGTGGGTTCTGCCCAGGGGCGAGGCGGCACGTGGGCTCCGCCCGGGTACTTACCCTGCATCTGACTCTGAGGTTGAGGGTTAAAAGCAGTGGAGTGGTTCAAGGAAGCCCGAGGGTTGGGTGTGGGGGCTGGGTGGTGTGGGCTGACCCTCATGGCCGTTCGCCGCAACTGCTCCAGTTCACTGAGCCGCTCGGAAAAGGACAAGCTCCCGGGCTTGGTCTGATCGTCTAGTTTCTGACGATGTCCTATTGCGGGGAGGGGGTGGGGAGGGGGAGAGGGAGGCAAGGAAGGAGGGAGGCAAGAGATCAGAAAATGCACACTGCGGATTGGCTAGAAGTCGGGTGTTTCTGGGTCTCCCCTCCCTCTCCCCTCACCGCCTCCCCACCCGCACGTGGACCTGCTGGAGACCTGCACATTCACAGGCACCCCTGGGGATTCGGGGCCGGCAGACGGGGGACCCCTTTCGTCATATTGCTCGGGGGACGCTCCTTCGGTCTGGCCCCGGGCGCCCACCTCGACCTTCTGCACCCATCTGCAGGGGGCAGAAGGCAGAGGGCACGCTGGGCTTGGTGGCAGTGGTGATGCATGGCGGGAGAAGTGGGGAAGGGGCACATCATTGGCACTTGCTTTGCCCTGCGCTGTGGGCTGGAGAAGGAGCCCCAACAGCTTGCCCCCCAGCACACACCCAAGCCTGGCTGGTTTCAGAGCAGCGAAGTGGGCCCTGGAGCTTAGCGGCGCGCCCGGCCAACAGGAAATGAGGTGTGGCTGCAAACCACAGCCCCAGGAGGTCAGATTTCCTGTTAAGTGCGGGGCAACGGCCCCTTCTCCGTTCCTCGCCAGCTCTCCGAGAGCATCCTCTCTTCCCTGGAGCCGACTTCCCCAGGCTCGGCCTCCACGGGTCGGAGATTTGCAGCAGCCCGGGGCCCCTGGAGCCCGGAGCGGGCTGCCAGCAGAGTGGAAGTGCTTCCCCGGGGGGCCTCTGGAAATCCGAGGCGGGGAGGGGGACCCTCAGCACCTCAGGAGCCAGCAAGTGTCCTCACCTGCCTAGCTCCTCGTCAAAGTCACCGTCACCAGGATGCAAGCAGGAACCCTTCACGAGAGAAGGGTCAGGCGGAGGGTTGAGCGTCCCCTTTCCTCCCTTAGTTCTTTATCAAAATGTCTTTTTAAAAAATGTATTTTTACTTTCTGACTGCACTTCTGGGCTTGTGGGATCTTAGTTCCCTGACCAGGGATTGAACCCATGCCCCCCTGCAGTGGAAAGGCAGAGTCTTCACCACCGGATGGCCAGGGGAGTTCCCACAATGTCTTTAAAGCAGAGATTCAGGCCCGTCGAGCAGAGCTGAGGCTCCCAGGTACCCAAGTAGCCACGAGGGTTAGAGGGGTGGGGCTGGGCTTGACCAATTCATTGGAAGAAAGAGCCACTGACCATTTTCACAGCTTACCTCCCCCCTCCCCCATCGTCAAGGGACCTCAAAACAAGACTGGGGAAGCAGCCTCCTTGCCAGCACACTCCAGCGGCCTTCCCCATGCCCGACCCCCTCCTCAGTGAGAAAGATGATCCCTGGATTCCAGCCCCCCACCCCCCACCCCCAGCCCGGGGTGGGAATGGAGTTGGGAGAAGTATATTTCAGCCCAGCTCCCAATGGCTACAATTATAAAATTAAATTTTATAACTTGTATTATGGTTCCAATCTCCGTGGTTTGCCGTTTCTTCCTGCTGCCAGGCCCCTTGGCACAGCTGATGCTGTCTCAAATTCCAGACCAGAAAAAGGACCCACTATACTGCAGTGATTTTATCACGAGCAAGACCTGTTTGGCTCCAAGATGAGGAAAAATACTTAAGCATAATATTTGTGTAGTTCAAATGCAATGCTCCCTCTTTTCATGTGTCACCAAGGCAAATCTGGTCTCTGATTCAGCCCCTGCAGCCCACAGCCCTCGGCCTGAACCAGGCAGCCTGAGTCACGTGGGCCCAGCACACATGCAAGGCCTCTTACTCGCTGAGTATTTTAAGCACCAGCCTTGTCGGTGAAAGGCCACAGGGCCAGCTCCCGGAAGAACCCCTGCCACCCTTTTTCCTTGGAGGGACGAAAACAATCTTTTTCTAGAACATTCTATGTCAGTCCATCATGGAGTCGTTCGTTGTCTCCGGATGGAGCGTCTCTTGACTCCTCCCTCCTCTTATCTCTGTGACACATTCTCGGCTTCCTGACGGTCAGACTGAAAAAATCTGAAGCTTTCTTGCAGAGGAGCAAATGATGCCAACTCAAAGGTCATCCCAAAGCATATCAGTATGGTCCTTCCCATGCCTGGCACCACCTAGCGCTTGGAGTTAGGAGTCAAGGCGAGAAGAAGGCAGGACACATACTTCTGAAAAGTTCTACCGCCTCAGAAAGAATGCCAGTTGTCATAGGGGTGGTGCAGAGGCTTCTAGCAGGTTTTGTACCCATTTCAGAACTGCACATTCCTTGGGCACCCAGTGGTGTTTTTGAAGAACAGCGTGTCAAGGACAGTAGGTGATTCAGGAGAATAATGTGTACCAGATCATTCCAAACACATGCATCTGGTGTTTTGGAGCCTCCGGCCAGCCTTTGAAGAGAGGCCTTCGGTTGTGTCTACCTCAGTCCCCAAGCTTGAGGAACATGTGCCACCAAGAAACTAAACAGGAATAAGTCGTTTCAGGGAAGCCACTAGTGCTGCCGGGCACAACGCAAGATATATATATATATGTTTTAACGAGACCCCTTCTCATCACCCTATGCTTGAAAAAGAAAGTTTCAACGTGTGAGCAGTTTTTGCACCAGCTGACACCTGCCAAAATCGCAGTCATTTACAGAGATTAACTGATGACTGTCTGCTTCAGCAGGAATGTTTGGGCATAGCTCTCAGAGAAAACAATTCTTCACTCTAAGCTCTGTTCTAAGCCCTGAGAGTCTCAGGGCTGAGTTTAATGCCGGAGGAGGGGTGAGAGTTCACCCCACACCCTCCCTGCGTGTGATCCTGGAGTAAGTCAGAGCGGTATTACCCTCCTGGGGACCCAGAGACCTTCCTTCCAACTTGAGCTGGGAAGCTGGAACACCAAGACACGGGGGAGATAAAAAGCATTATATTAAAGGTGTGGTTCTGATGCATTCAGAAGCTAGATCAAAGGAAGACCTAATTCTTCTTTTCTGAAACCATCAGATTTCGTGTGCCAAAGAGCAATATATATTTTTTTTTTTGCATGAAATATAGAAGCTTCCGATATAAACTTTCAAGCTGGGGAAAATGAATGCTTTTTCTGTCTCCAGTTTCCTGTATCTGTGTGCAATTAAGATGTGTTTGCTCCCTGAATTTTAAATACAGGAGTATGGAGAATGTCCACCATCAAATTCACTTTTCTTCTTTCTTACTGACTACTGGGCTATCGAGGGCAGCAGGGAATTCAACCCTGGATCAAACCTTCTGGTAGAAATTATGTGAAGCCTTGAACACATGCATGTTGGCAGCCTGGATTTTTTGGACACGTTGGCGGTCAACTGTGAATGTTTACAAGGTGGCCCTGAACACAGTCACAACCTCAAGATGTCATACAGGGACATCTGATCCTAAATTATGTTTCTCTATTACTATTCTCACATTTTTTTAAAAAAGTACTTGATTAGAATTTTATATGTGTGCAAAACTATACAAAGCCAAAAGAACAACCACCGAAAAGAATGAAAACTAATTCATCCCATCTGCTAAATTTTACTTCTTCATTCCAAAGACATACGTCCTGCAGTCTTCTGGAACGGGTGCCGACTGGGCATCCCTAAATGTTAGGATACTTGTGATGGATAATGAGACCAGCTTTTAGTTTTCTGCTATTGAAAACAAGGCTGAGTGAGTATGCATATTTCACTGACAACTGAAGTCCCCTTTTCAGAAAACCATTGTTGATCTGTGGGTCAAAGTAACTGAAATATAATATAGATCATCCTCAAATTATGATGGCTAATGTCCCAATAAATCCATCCTACACTGAAAATATCATAAACTGAAAATGCCTTTAAAACACCTAACCTATCAAACATCCTAGCCTGCCTTAAACGTTGTTAGCACATTAGCCTAGAGTTGGGCAAAATCATCTAACACAAAACCTATTTCATAACCAAGTGTTGACCATCTCAAGTCATTTATTGAATACTGTGCATAATGAAACTGAAAAACAGAACTGTTGTCTGAATACAGGCGGTTGCAAGTTCATCTGTTGTTGATCCCTAAGAGGTCATGGCTGATCACAAAAGTAGCTCGCCACGCATCGCGAGCCCGGGAAAAGATCAAAGCTCACAATTCAAAGTATGGTTTCTACTGAGTATGCATCACACCATTGTAAAGTAAAAAAAATTCTAAGTAGAACCATTCTAAGTCAGGGATAGTCTGTATACGATCACCTATGGGAGAAAACGGATAAGACCAGGTTGTCACCTTTTCTTGTCAAGTTCTGTGTAGAGAGAATCATTTTCTGACAGTAAACATGTAAGTTCATGTTTCTGATATGAGTTTACTGGTTTTCTTGATAGATTCTCAGCAGAAAAATTAGAAAAGGTGTGTACTCAAAGCATTGTCAGCATGAGCAGCTGAGAAAAACTGGTGCAAAATGATAAGACCAAAAAGACATCTATCTATATACGTGTGTGCATACCCATCCCTATCTTCTCTGGTGGCCCAACATCTCCTACAATGCAGGAGATGCGGGTTTGATCCCTGGGTCGGGAAGATCCCCTGGAAAAGCAAATCGTAACCCACTTCAGTATTCTTGCCTGAGAAATTCCATGGACAGAGGAGCATGGTGGGCTACAGTCTATGGGGTCAAAAGAGCAGGACACAACTTAGTCACTAAAACCACCCATGTACATCTGTCTCCCTCTATCCATCCATCTATCTCATTGTGATTCTTCTAAAAGGATATATCTTTTTCAAAAGATGTTTGCCAATCAATCTGATGCTAATGACAATATCTGGATATAAAAACATCGATATTTCTTTCCTTAACATGCTATCCTTTATGGACTAGGGGAAAGAAACTGACGTGTATCTAAGACGGCTCATTTTTCCTGGTATAGTATTCTAACTTCTGGGCTCCAGAGTCAACAAACTCACTGGGACTTTAAAGCAATGATTCTGAATGTGGACGTGATCCTTCCTCAAAGCATCTTGCAGATGGTAAAGTAAACCTTTCTAACTGCCAACCTATCCATCTGCTGGCTAATGAAATGCTGGG